AGGTCGAAGAATTTATGAGTTTGCCGTGCAAAAACCTTATGCGGGGGAGAACGGATTTATCTGGGTTTAGACCCCATTGGGAGTTGGGCATCTGAGTGCTAAAGACAAGCACTCTACTGCGAGCTGTCTTCAGGTAAACTTGCAGCTTTGGGACAGGAGATTCAGACCCTGGATCTGTGTGTGGAGCCAAACAGGAGTGTCTGGCTCAGCAAGACAGGGTGCTGGAGTCCTGAGCTGGCAGGGAAAACAGAAGCAGGGGTAGTCTTTGCACATCGGGTGGCAGCTCCCAAGGGGGTTTCTGTGATCCAACCCGTCACAGTGGGGGGATTCGGCTGGTGCCTCTCTCTGTGATTCATGAGTGGCTCTGGGAGCATTCATGCAATCTAGCTGGGTATGGGACTCCCCATGCGGTTGTGCTGAGTGATAACAGCGCCTGAAGGGGTTTGCTATTTGTCACTAGCAAAGCATTGTGAGAGACAGCCCAGGCTGGAGAGTTAAGGGGGCAAAGTGGTCCCACAGTCCCAGGCTGCACCCCGGGGTCCCGTCACATGCACATCGACATTGTCATGCAGTCAATTACAGGACTCACCTGCTACTGTAAGCTTTGCTGTTCTGCTTACAATGGTCCCAAGGCTTTCCACGGTTGCCACACACTGATAATATCCTTCGTCAGGTTTATTGTGTTTGGAATGCACCACACTGTTTATTAATAAAGATCCATCTGGTAGCAGCTGGCGCCGGTCATCTGACACCAAATTTAGGAAAGTCCCATCTTTCTTCCATTCAATTTTTGGAGAAGGCTCACAGTAAGCTGAACAGTTCAGTATGATAAAAGCCCCTCGAACTGATAACGTGTCCATTGGCTCCACCAGAAAATAAAACGGAGTGAAGGTTCTCACAGTGGACCCTATAAAACATAAGTAAAATCTGGAAATGTTTGTTTACCCTTCCATAGTTATTAATATAAGGAGACGTTTCTTACAGGGAACAGAAAAATATTAGAATATCTAGTGTGCCATACTACTCATAACTCTTACAGTAGTAAATGTGTTTCTTAAAAGAAAAGATACAAAGTCAAAAGCGCTAGCCTGACTAACTTGGGATCAAGATAAAAAGAATCAGGAAGGGCCATCAAGAACAACTATATGTCCAAGTTACTTTCTACTAAGCCCTATGACAGAACAGAAAAAAATTCAACATACTGACATGCTATAAGCATAACTAAGCTTGGCCTATAAAATCAGTTTTGCCCTCATCCTTCCCAGAATCCCACAATAACTATTTTAATAGGGGAAGAAGTTGTATTCCACTGGATAAAATTTTTGCCCAGGGCTTGTTTTTAAGAAGTTGTAAACGTTATCTCCTTTGTTAAGAAAGCTATTTTTGGCATAGTTTTTTTCTTCTCTTAAAACACTTCTTATTCCTTTTAAGCTCTCTAGCTATAAATAGCTATTTCTGCATTTTAAAACATGAACATTTTGCCACCCTATCTTTTTGCTAAAACCCTTAATCAATTTGAGTAGTCTTATTTGGCTGACATCCCATTTTTCTATTGAAAATTCAAACTGTTTCTTAACGGAAGACAGTCAATCTGAAATCTAGTTAAATTCAGTTTTTGTAGCATTGTTTTCTAGTTAAAGTGTTTATATTTGGCTGCAAATATAAAAGTTATAAAAATATAAAAGTTCAGCTGCTCTTTTGAAGAAAAAGAAATCTTAGTCCTTAACGAGACAATCTAATTACTGGTATCTCTCTAAAATAACTTTTAGTAAGTTTTGGTTTTATAACGCTGTTGGACTGGAGTTATAAATTACTTCAGAGTTGCATGTTGTGGGCAGAGTGTATCGATTTGTGTCACGGCCAACTCTAAATAGTTAACACATTTTATTTACTTTAATTCTATAGAAGGTAAAACAAATTTTTTACAGCAGAATTAAATGTCTTTTGTCTTATAGATTCCAGATAGTTTATAATATTATAAATAATGTGTTTTACAACTTTGATCAGTTCATTACTTCAAAGAGGTCTAAATAATAAGTTTCAAGATTTATCAAGAGTATTATCTTCCAGATCCAAACTGACATACACCATTTAAAAATGCACTCTCTAACTGAATGAAATATTTGATTAATGGCTAAGTGCTATTTGAGTATATTTATAGGAACAAGATGGTATTGTCTTTCAGGACATTTTTCCTTGGCCTTTTGTGATATATGGATACCAGCGAGAGCAGTCTGATGTCTTATTTGCAATAGTATGAAATAAAAACATTAAGAAATTAGACTTCAAGGGACAAGAGTGTCTGCTTTTTGGGTAATTATTTGTAATCCAATTCTGAGTCTAACATATCATGTGGTACCATCGTACAGTTTTTTACTCCTACGTTAAAGTGTAAACATGATTACCTGTCCATTTTTAATTATTCTCAAATAAACTTCTTTAATTAATATTCATATTCTATTGCACGGGTTTTAATTACTATATTCCTAGTGTAGTCAGCAAGGTAGAGAGAAGGACTGTGTATCACTTTCTTTTATCATAGCTTCATCATCACTGCCAGAGAAAACTCATCAAAGAAGCAAGAAATTATTTTGGGAGGGAACAGAGACTGATAACCAAATCAGGATCTCTTAATAAAACAGTTATTATAATGTTGGTTTGGTGGCAAGAGCAGTCATAAGATTTTCAGAGCAGCTAATAAGAAAGAATGATAGGGTGCCCTAACTATTTGTTTGACCATGAAGGTGCTTCTCCCCCTCCACTTAGGAACTGGAAGCAGGATATGTCACACACAATAAATCACACTGCTGGTATCATACTAATATAATTTAAAATACCACCACCAGAGCCTTTAACCACAAAATAAGAGGGTATAATATAAAATGTGGCAACTTGGTTCAGAAGCACTACTAACACAGAACACTGAAGTTTATTTCCATACCTAGCTGGGGAACAAATTGAGGAATCTGACGAGGCTTCTAAGAAACCAAGAGCATCCATCTGTCGGCTGAAGACAAGACAACAATGCCAAACTGAGACAAAGATAAAATGTCTCTTCATAACTGACTGCCTCCAGAAACTCTGCAACATTAACAACCTCTATCACAACACCATTCTTGCCACCATGGATGTTACCTCCCTATACACCAACATCCCTTACAATGACACATGCCTTCCTACTTCAAATATCTACAAGACAATGGACAACACTCAGAGATCCACCCCAAACACATTGTTAAACTCACCTATTTCATTCTTACCCATAACAACTTTACATACAACAACAAACACTTTGTCCAAACCATGGGAACAGGCATGGGTACCAGGATACCTCCCCAGTATGCCAACCTCTTCATGGGCCACCTTGAGGACAAATTTCTGGACAAACACAGCACAAAACCAATTATATACCTCAGTTATATCTATGACATTTTCATCCTCTGGACAGACAACCTAAACTCCCTCACAGATTTCCACCAAACTTCAACAACCACCATCCATCCATCCAACTTTCTCTAGAACATTCCCACAACTTCCTGGACAGCACAGTCAGCTCAATAATGGAATCCTACAAACAACTAAATACAAGAGAAACATGGATCACTACACTTATCTTCACAGATCCAGTAAACACCCCAAACACACCAAGAAATCTTATAGCAAGGCCCTCAGATACCATAGAACATGCTCCGAGAAGGAAGTCCAGGATATATACATTTGTACACTTGAAGTGTCCTTGTTTGGTGAAGGTGGTTTTAACAAAAAAAGCAGATCACATCTTGGAAAGGCCACCTAAATACCCCAAGAGAACTTGCTTCAAAACAGGAAGAAAAAAAAAAACCTCACGCCCCTAGTTGTCACCTACCACCCAGACAGGAACACATACAGGTAATCATTAAATAATTACAACCCATACTTGATAGTGACCACATCCTGAAATATTTTTTCCCCTAAACCCCCTCTTCCAGCCTTCAATCAACTCTCCAATCTCCCTAAGCTCATCATCAGAAGCAACCTCCATACAGACCAGGACCCATCATCTCAATGCGGCACCAGACTCTGCCATAACAACACATGCAAAACCTCCACATACATCTCCATTTCTACAATGATGAATATGCCCCACAACACACTTTTCAAGATCTATGGGACCCACACAAACCTATCACAACATGTGGTGTACCTCATCTACTGCACTAAATGCCCCCCAATTATAACTATGTGGGCAAAACCAAACGATCATTATGCTCTCTAATGAACTCACACTGAAAAATGATAGAAGATTAAAACATCATATTATTGAGGGGTAAACACATTTCACAAAATGATCACTCCATATCTGACCTCGTAGTCCTCCTCAAAGGAAATCTGCAAAACACTTTCAAAACAAGCCTGGGAGCTTAAATTCATAATTTTGCTAGACACTCAAAGTCATGGTTATAATAAAGACACTGGATATATGGCTTATTATTACAATCTGTAACCCACTCCTTCATCCTTTTTTGTCCTATGACTGCAGGGGTATTAAAAGGCCACTTCAGCTTGCATGGTCCATTAGAATGTGTTAACTACTTATGCTGAACAATCTGTTCCACCTTGTATTTAGCTGTGAGGCTGGGAATTCCTTTTCCAGACCTGAAGAAGTACTCTGTGTGGCTCAAAAGCTTATCTCTCTCACCAACAGAAGTGGCCCAATGAGAGATATTATTTCACCGACCTTGTCTCTCTAGGATCCTTATTCGTAGTCCAGAGAAACCAAGAACGAAATGGAAACCAAAGTGGCTTCACCACTGAAAAGTGGTATTTTGGGTCAGATTTCCGGCATTTTGGTAAGATCTGACTTTCCTTAGTCTTATGAACTCTCGAGGTCCCTTCCAGTCCTAGAATCTATGAATCTGCATGTATAATGTGGATAGCAGGGTGGATAAAAATCAATGCTTTTAAAAAAAGAAAATCATTTTTTTTAATTTAAATAGGATTTTTTTGATAAAATGCTTTTTGAGGAAAAAAACCTATCTAAAGATAGTTTTAATTAAGATACTGTGACGGGCTGGATCACAGAAACCCTGTTGGGAGCTGCCACCTGATGTGCCAAAACTACTTCTACCCCTGCTTTCCCTGCCAGCTTAGGACTCCAGTCTTGCTGAGCCAGACACACCAGTCTGTTCCAACGAAGACCCAGGGTCTGAATTACTTACCCCAAAGCTGCAGGTTTACCTGAAAGCAGCTAACAGAAGAGTTCCTGTCTAACACTCAGATGCCCAACTCCCAATGGGGTCTAAACCCAAATAAATTCGTTTTACCCTGTATAAAGCTTATACAGGGTAAACTCATAAATTGTTCGCCCTCTATAACACTGATAGAGAGATGTACAGAGTTGTTTGCTCCCCCAGGTATTAATACATACTCTGAGTTAACTAATAAGTAAAAAGTGATTTTATTAAATACAGAAAGTAGGATTTAAGTGGTTCCAAGTAGTAACAACAGAACAAAGTAAGTCAGCAAGCAAAATAAAATAAAATGCTCAAATCTATGTCTAACCAAACTGAATACAGATAAGATCCTCACCAGTTCCAGAATGCTCCCTTTTAGCCTGGGTCCAGCAATCACTCACACCCCTTGCAGTCAGTGTTTCAATTTCTTTCAGGTATCCTGAGGGGGTGGAGAGGCTCTCTCTTTAGTCAGCTGAAGACCAAATGGAGGGGTCTCCCAGGGCTTTAAATAGACTTTCTCTTGTGGGTGGAGACCCCCTCCTCACTCCTATGCAAAGTACAGCTCCAAGTTGGAGTTCTGGAATCCCCTGGGCAAGTCACATGTCCATGCATGACTCACAGTTTCTTACCAGGTAGCAGCCATGGGTCACATGCTACTTTGAGCGTCCTCAAGTAGACTTCTTATGTGGATTGGAGCATTCTAAGATTCATTGTCCTTT